ACTGAATCGCCACACAAGAAATTCAAGTCATGCAATAAACACAGCCGTGTTTTTCAAAATAATGTTTGTTTAATATCTGAACATTTCAGCTTCATTGATTCTTCCAGTGTTTCTTCTCAAGAAGTACTTGATGGGTTAATAGGTGTTTGCAATTTTAGCTGTAAGTATAATTCTAAGCATTATTTCCCAACTTAGTTAGTTAACACTAACCAAAGATTATGCTTGCTTGTTTAGCCCACTAATAAATGAAGACAATGTCATCTACCTCTTCTGGTTGTTTGTCACAAGTGTATCATTAAAATGTACGCTACTGTTTAGGGGAGATAACAGTAAACATTAGTGTTAATAATAGTAGGACAGTACTAGTGGTGACACCACTGTTACATATATCAAAAGTTTATGCTAACAGAAACAACAAAAAAAGGAAAAGCTGTACGAAAGTCAACAAAAAATAATAATAAATATACTCTCATAGCCAGCAGTTAAATATTACCAAGAAAATACAAAATTAACAAGCAGTATTTCATAAAATAATAACAGTAGTAAAAGAAACAAATAAAACGAAAAAATATTGACCGAAAGAAAATATCTTCTCACTTGGAATAGTGTTTCAATAATAATGATAACTGCTTCGTTTTGCAGTTGTCTTTACTTTTATAATACAATTAGTTCTTATGTATATATATATATATATTGTAGAAAAGTGGTGAAGAAGGAATGTGATTTATTTTGCAGTATTCTCGTTTAGTGCCTGCACATTCATATACTCTAGTTGATGATATTCGAATGAAATAGAATATAAATAACTGTTAATGGTTTAAAAGTCTTTATCCCAACCGGTCACATCTTCTGGAGGTAAGTCCTCTTCTTCTGAATAACTGTCAAAGTTCGATAAATCTGTTGGTGAAGAGACCTAGAACAGAATGAAATGTTAGTTAAAAACAAAATGAACATTTCTGAAAGTAAAATTAGGCACGGTATTATTTAAACATTCATTCATCAAATGAAATCGGTTTAGAAATCCTCTGCACTCCACAGCATTAGGAACAAGACTCGGATTTTCAACACAAATGTGAAGTCAATCAGTCACTTCTTCTATATGGGTCAGAAACTTGACCGGTGCATCGCGAAAAGCATTTTCAACACTCAGATTCAGACGTTTATTAACATCTGCCACCTTCACTGGCTGGCTCCATACTGAATATCAAATGGCCGGCTAGCCAGTCAGAAAGAATTAGCAACAGGAAACTGTGGCTGAAAACAAGTCAACAAGCAAGAGGCGATTGCTCTACAAATATACAGAAGAAAGTGGAGATGGATTGGAAATACGTTGAGGAGGCCGTAGAATGACATCGCACATAATGCAGACCATTGTTCGAGTGGAATCCCAGTCGGAAGCGACGATTGAGTCATTAGAGTGTGACGTGGATGAAATCTTGTCAGGTGGAGATGAGAGATTACGGTTAATCATGGACCCAGTTGAAGATGACAGCAGAAAATACAACAAGGTGGAGACGTGTTGTTGAATCTCCATATTTTACTCGGAACCCAAGGTAAAAATAATAATAATAATCATCTAAGCAGAACAATACTTCGAAAACTTCAAAATGTCATCAAATAAAAAGAGAATAAACAAGATCTATAAAATAAATAATTAACATCATGAAAAAGTCACCTCAAGTAGAAAGAGCAATTCAACTGAGAATAAGTAAGAATAATCAAATGACAACTTTTCTAGTATTTCCAATAAATTAACAACCCAGAGTTCAAATATCCAAAAATCCATAAAGAAACTATAGGAACAGATACAGCTCGAAAACAAAGGTTTAGTTGATAGCATGTTTCACTAAACGTCATCCCCACAACTACAATCCAAAGAGACAAATAAAAGTCACTGGGTTGTCCAGAAGACAAAAAGACTACAAGTACAACAAAAAATTTGATTATTCAAACAGCAACATATTATTCAGGCCGAAAGAACCCTAATTTAAATGGTCACTATTTTCGTAGTATTTTTTTTATAGTCATGTAAAGTTTGATTAGAAGTAAATGAAGTTATTCTGAAAATTCTTATCAACTGTTTAAAACCCAAGCAAATTTGATAACATCTGTCCAATGCTGTTTGATTTTCAAAAATTCTCAAAGTGATATCGATTCACGCTGATGTCTACCGTGAATTTTAACACCAGCTGGAACAAATGTTAATTGAAATAGGAAGTAAAGTTACACACTAAAATCAAACTGAATAATTTAACATTATTCTCACGAGATTTAATAAAGACTGACAAAGAAGTGGAAATAAATTTTTCTTAGAATAGGAAGCTAATCTTGATTATTCCTTAGACACTGTGAAGAAACATCACAGTGAAATTGACGGTGTTTCTTAATTCATTGCGTTTTATAGGGTGGCGATGCTAGTCTAATGCTTGACCTTCCACCATTTTCGAGTTTACTATTGGCTAGCAAACTAGGTGAGGTTTAGTAGTTCATCAGCCGGGAATGTAACCCGAACTGGCCACGTTGTTAGCTAGCATTTCACTATTAAGCCACCAACGCACGGAAACGGCTACAAGATGAATAAAATGCAAGTTGAAATGTAGGCGCTATAACTATATCACAAAACAAACAGAAACCAACAGATAGGTGAATAACAAGTGTCATTTTATAATGAAATTATATATATCTTTCATTCTTTAAGAAGAGTGACGTGTAAGTTTTGTATTTTCATGACTAACAACTTCTTGAATTATGCAGTCTGAATAATTTTCAAACACTCTATTCTCTATTGACCTTTTTAGATAGCTCCACGGCTGTTTACAGACTTTTATCAAGTTTTTAGGTGTTCTACTTCATGTCACCCTGGTCCACTCCCAACTTATAGCCTTGACTGTCTCCTCAACACATGTCTAATCCACCTCATTTTCTTTCTTTATATTTATCTGGTGACGGGTTGCTGACTGTTTCATTGCCTGCCAGAGTTCATCACTGCTTATGCTTTCTAATAATTTAATCTAAAATCATTTTTGTACATATTTCATCCACGAAATAAATATCCTGAGAAATTTATTAACACGATTTATGCTACGATGCATGATGAATGTGCATTTGCGAATCTGTTCTCAAATAAGTTAACTAAGAAATACATACTTTTGAATGGTCCATGTATTTTTGTATTTTTAAATAATTTGCGTCTACTAAAACAAATCATCAAACTAGAAAGCCTCATTTTTCAAATAATTTCTCCTTTTATAAGAAAATAAAATTTGTCTAGAGCCTTAGTTACTCGTATGTCAAACATCCATAGTGAAGTTGACTAATAGACTATTCGTTAAAAGGTCCTACTTGGATCATTGATCTACCTAATTTTCCATCCATCTAAATGCATCTGTACTCAGGTCTGTTTTCAAATAGGTTTCAACCTGCCGCTATGAAAAAAAGAATCCACAGGCAATTAGGGCGTTGTTTGGATAAAGCGATACTGCTTCAAATGAAATACACTGACTTGAAGATTGTATACATACAGTAGATACTTTACAATAGAGATTCAGAGAGTTTTGTATTATGCATCAGAAAAGAGGTGCTGTTATGATTATTATGTCAGGCTTATCAATTGTTGCGAAATTTTCACTTTCTACATTTCATTTCCTGCACACATGTGCATCTACTTGTTCGCTGACATTTTGATATCATTTTTTATTTTACTACTTAAAAATCAACACAGGAAAACTTTGTTTGTGTACGTACAATAAACTGATTATGTCTTCCATGAAATAATAATAATAACAGTCTATCAGATGACATATTGGAACATAATTTACGCTTAGTAAATATACCGCAGGCAAAAGTATTTCATTTTACCGGGGGTTGAGTTTTAAACGATAAGAGAAGGAGATACAGATACACTTAGCATTTTGGCAATAACTGCATAGAATCATAAACTCAACAAACATCTGCAATGTCCCATGAAATACCCCTTGGCTTACGTTTACCTGTAATGATTTAACCAGTTTCTTAATTACATAGCCGATAAAGGAAGGAACAACTCATAAAAAATTTATATCATTTGGCTGGATTCATTGAAATGAAAAATTCAAATTAGCATAATGAAATAATAAGTCAGTGAGACAGAGTAATTCAGATAGCGATGAATATATCAAAATAGCTTGTTAACAAAGGCATAGCTAATACTTTCTTTATCCTTTTAAACTAATTTCACTTTAAGTAAAGAAGTGAGATTCAGCACTTTGGTGAAATTACAATTCAAGTGTAAGTTTATTTGTCACTGCACATATCGACAAACTATTGCCTACTAGATACTGTAATGAATATAATTCATAATTTCACATTATTATGAAAGTATTAAGAATGTCTCAAACTTTGATATGACTATAAAAAATTGTGCAAGAAACTTCATCAGGTAAGTAACATTACTACAAAAGTGACAAAGACGATGGAGCTCTCCTTTTTTCTGTCTCATTTCTGTTTCTTAATACTCTCGCGTGTTTAGTGATCATTAAAATAAGTTTATCAAGTCCAAGTGAGAAGCTGTTCAAAATACAAATACCATCTTCCTCCATATTAATACAGTTTTAAGCTGTGTGAAACACCATTTAGAGCGATTAATTTTAACAAAAAGTTATTTTGTAATTATTCTTTGGCAAATTTAAGAGTTATATTTTAGTTATGAATGCAGAAGTTTTATTTCAACAGAGAGAAACTTAATCAAACTAATGTGAGTTCAAGAAATGTCTTAAGCAGAGCTATTTGTTATAGGAAGACAGTTTATAAAAATAGTAATTCTATTTTTTGATATTGTTCTGTTACTACTTCGGCCTGTATACTCTTCCATCACCAGTAGCAAACAAAGAATAGCTGTGCGAAGCTTCAGGATGTATTCAGCTGCTTTTAAGTAAATCAAGTATCAGAAGAGGGCTTTCAGTCTGGCTGTATACATATATATATATATATATATATATATATATAGGCACATATAGATTGGTCCCTTTTTCATTGGAGTACACTTTAGTGCTATGACCATACAGAAACATTATTAGTGATTTTGAAAAATAATCCTACCTTTGGATTGATCGGAACTTGAATGGTTTTCGCTACAAGTCCATCCCAGTCAAATCCTTCGAACCATGCGTGACTTTTTACCTCTGTTATCCCTGATTTTCGGGCACCAAGTCGTTGTGCTGGAGCATCTCTGAAGAAAGGAATGCAGTAACAATCAGTTTCTTATCATGTGATGTTGCAGGAGAAACCGCAAAATATAAAATCCATTACTCACTTGTTGAATAAAATATTTTTTTTATTTCGTTATCAACTAATTTACATAATTCAATTTTCAATGCCGATAGCAGTAAGATCGATGAATATCTCAGTAAAAAAATGCCTCATACTTTTTTGTTTTAAAGCATTTTTATATAGTGATATTTGTCTTAATCTTTTATAATCCCATCAGACAGTATCGAATCATAAAGATTGCTTCATTTTTCGAAAAGAAGTATTGCTACTTATGCCTAGCAGGGAAACGAGTCTGCTTTTAATCCAACCAAATAATGCGTCGGTTTACTGACGCTTCTGGTATATCTTTACAGATTACTCAAGTTCATTTATTTTTCCCGCTGGTTAATGATGGTATGTGTAACTCAGTGAGTCCCAGAGATGAATAGAAAATGTGGCACTAGTTGACTAATTTGAAGAAATTATGATAGAAAACTGTGAAACTCGGTGATAAATAATAACAAAATATTTAACGTCTAACAGGCTGTCACACAGCTCCTGTTGAGAAGTTTACAATTTTAACATAGCAGACTGTGTACGAGAAATAACAGAATCTTCGAAGAAATAACAAAAATGTTACCACTACCAATTTTTCGCAATTTTACCTGCATAATTTTTTGATAAGGCACTGTGCATTTCTTGTGATACACTTTGGGAATTCAATTGTATTAATTCCTTTCAGGATAATATTATACGTTCTCATTGGATCTGATGATGTAAACGGTGGCCTGAAATCAATTGTTAAACACATAATATTTGTTTTAATTACAGAGTACTATGATGAATAATAAATGACTGTTAAATTCGCTCAAAATAATTATAGATCACCAAGTATAACTTCTTTGAAGAAATAATATTTTTAGTTATTCACAGGAAAGAAATGAATACACTGGTTTATCACTAGACGACTACCAATGTCATATGCCGGTGATGATTCAATTCTACCAGTTAAGTTTGCAGGCAAGGCAACTCGGCATAATAGCGCAATGTGGAAAGATGCATGGCGGTTGGAAGGCCGGACAGCTCATTTGTAAAGCCTCCGAATGAAACACTGTGTTACGGTAGTCTGAACTTCTAAAATGTAAACAGTACCTTACACACTGCAAACTCGGTCTGCTAATAAGTGCCAATAAGCACTAAACGTACATCCACGAATGTCTATCGATCGCCTGCGACCATGTGACCAACCAAAGAGCATGTATGATGTTTCATCGCATTATTACTAATAACAACGGGTTTTTTTACTATCTTCAATTGATTATTTCTGCTGATCCTGTCTTTACTGATAAATATTTTCTCTGTGTAACTTATTGTGTTGTTAGTATCGCACTAGCTTTTACAGGGAAGTGGAGTAATTATTTTTAAAATTAATACAATGACTATGATGACAAGTAACTTCTGAGAGTCTAAATACTCTTCCAGCCTTCAAGTCTTATTAGTGGAGCACTCAACACCAGTACTATCTTATTTTGTTGTTTGATTGCTATTAATATTACGGTTACCTATTTGAATGAAATAATAATTATTATGTAAATTTTTTCAGGAAAAAACTAGAGGAAATTAGATACCATATAATTTCTTCATTTGAAAGTAATCCTTAGAATTATCAGAACGAAGGACGAACTTAACAGCTATTTTAGTTATTCTGAGGTGTGAATGTAAGATTTCTGTTCAAGACAGATGATTCATAAGCTGACGCATCAAATATCGCTCACAGAATAAAATATCCGCACCTTTTATCTATAAATTATCTAAACCGGCCACAAATCCAGCGTTGAAATATCCTTCTCCATCATCTACCGGGTGTCTAATAAACTGCCGAAAACACCGAAGCACCGCATGTTCCAAACAGCAGAGGCCATTGCAATTCGCCTCAAACAACCAGTGCTCTGTGTGTAAAAGAAACAAGTCCAGCCCCTACTACTGCCTTGGCCTTCAGTAGAGACTATAAATTCATGAATTTGTATTATTATCTTTCCTAATTGTTCTGACATTCAGCTTATTTTATGTTGATGCTACTGAACTGGAATCTATTGATATTACTGACTCGATGTTATTTAAACATTAATGTTGTTCATAACATTAATTCATTCATTCACTATAATGTTTATATAACTGTAGAGCCTGATGATGAAGTTATCGAAAAGAGTACTCTTTGCTCAGAATCCATATTTTGTAAATTTTAATGGGCATTTTTAATCAGTTAAAACGTTGTTTACAGTGTTTCAAGTTGAGTTAACAACATAGGACATCACCATGGTCTTCTTAAACTTCCAGAATCTATGGACCTCTCTAGGGGATTTCCACTAATATCATGAAGAGGAAAACATTAACGTACGAACACAAATAGGTAAAATAAACGATTTCACTTCAAGTTTTCTATCTGCCTGACAAAAACAATCACAATACCAAGAATTGTTATGGTTATTTAGTTGTTTTTTTTAAAATACCGGAGAAGTTATGACCTCTGTTTGCTACGAAAACGCAAAGCGAAGCTCTTATTGTAGAAGCGAGGCGGACCAATACGGTCTAGAGAAATCAGCGAAAAATCGAAGGTATTACCAAAAGCTAATATTGATTAATCACTGAGGAGACATTAGTACTTGGAATGTGGTAACCAGGCTACGGAACTAACCCTTGTGGAGCACTTCACCTTGACACTAGATGCTTGGCAGTGCTTTATAAGATTTGTGCTTTCAAACCATCTGACAATTAACGTGCATTCGCTATTTTTTTTCGGCGAGATTTTTCTATTTGATAAATTAATTTATTGTTTACATATCCAGTATTTAAGGATGGTAGATCCTCTCATTTTTTCTTTAAACACTGTGGTGTACCAGAATGTGTTAACAGTTATACCCACACTAATTCAGCAGCTTATTTCCAGTCCACTGCCGGTTAATGACTGACTTGGAAACTCGTTTCCTAAGGTTCCAATATGAGATTCAAACCCGTGGAATCTAAAAAGTCAGGTGTATTTAAAATTCTGATGACACTAAATATTCTCTTGTAATTCAACAGAAGTTTAAATTTCGGTTCATTGAATTTCAGACCGATGGTTAACTAGTGTAAAATACTTGGTTGAAAACGCAAAGATCCTTAACGCAGTAGTGTGTGTACGCATTTCTACAGCTCAGAAATTGGAGCAAACAACTCATATCTTTGACGGTGTTTAATATTTCTTCATAATGACACTGATTTTGACTATTTTAAAAAAACTTTTCCCATTTACGCGAATAAACTGTCAAACGGAAAAGTATATGATATTAGAAATTTCTTATGTGATAAGTGAGTAGAGTTGTCACTTGTCATAAGATAAATGTACCCTCCCATTTATATCTACATATTTTGTAATGTTTTGCATAAACATACTCTCTGTTGACGTTTATCACACTCTTTCCACATAGCTAATCTGTTTACGTTTAATGTGATGTAAACAAAATTTTAAAAAATAACAGAGTAAATAGCGCGACTGTTGAAATTCGACAGTCATACTATGAAAATTATTATTATCATTATCATTACTGGTAATGATTCCACATATTTATGTTTATCATTTACTTACTTAATGCTGTTAATTAGTTAATCACTGCATTTGTTACATGTATTCTAAGCTATGACAAACAGTGATTATTGATTACTGAATAAAGTCAATCGTTTTCAGATGAATTTCATACAGATAATCTTGAATTGCATCCTTCTGAATTAGTTAGTGAATTCATAGGGAAAATATCTAAACAGATGACCAGTTTCGTGTTGTAATTTATAGCAAGAAAGAGAAATTCACCTGTGTTTTTGTTTTACTCAGTGTTCGGCAATAAACTAGATCACAGTTAACAACTATTTTATTTGTTAATAAATAGAACAATATGTCAGCACTAGGTGAACTATTAGCACTTAGATCACCGGTCACTGATTTATCAAGAGTAATATGTCAACAGTTTCGCATTTAGAAGAATTTTACTGCTTTGATAAGTCATTTTTCAGGACTTACTAAACAATTAGAAACCATGAGGTATTTACACAGTAGAGAATGAATTAATTAACATCAAAACCTTTTTGACTTACGTTCCAGTTAATAATTCAAACATCAGAATACCGAGTGCCCAAAAATCCACGGCGAAATCATGTCCCTTATTCAAAATCACTTCTGGTGCAACATATTCTGGAGTTCCACAAAATGTCCATGTCTTGTTACCATATCCAATTCGTTTGGCAAAGCCAAAGTCAGTCTAATTAAAAAAGACAGGTCAAAACATAACACTGCTGAGCAAAGAATGTCATTTCCATGATAACATCATATTCGTAGTTAGTGCAGTTTCTAAATCGCATGTCTGTTGTCAGCACCATTCAAACATACATCCAACTTTGAACAATCAGTTCTCATTACGTATATGGGCAAAATAATAAGATATAGGTTTTTTGAAAGCTGTAGTCTATTTATGACACACATTTCGGATGTTCTCATCACACACCTAACTGTTATACATATCAATATAGAAGGTAACAGAGCATCAAGAATTACAACTTTTGATTAGTTGGAGGACTTCATTATAAGCTGACATCGGTTGAAATGCTCCAACCAATCAAACAACATCCCTACAAACCAATACTTGAAAATAACAATTTTTGTCAATATAGGTCAAAATGTTTACTAGTCATGGTCACAGATAAGAAATGGGAAACTAAGGTAGTAAACGGAGATAGAAAACGAGGTGGGTGAAAATATTATTTGGTAAAATGAACCCTGGTTATAAAACTAGATTACTAAAGCAGGTTCATGTTCAAAATTTGGAGCCAAGGTTCTTTATAACTAATATTATTTTCACCCCCCCTTTTTCTTCCTACCTCACTTTCCCGCCTCTAGGCTCCGACCATGACTCGTAAATATTTTGACTTAAACTACGTAAAATTGTGGATGCCTACTAATTAAGAGTCCCAAACTAAGACGAAACAACTGTCGAGTACCCCCAGATATTCCAATGGTCCTCCAACTGATATAAACTCTTGATAAAACCAGTAAAAGCTGTGATCCTTTATGTCTGTTACCTTCTATATGGATATGTATGACAAGCAGATGTGTGATGAGAATTTCCGAAATGTGTGTCATAAGTAAACTAGATGTTTCAGATGAATTACATATTCTCATTAGCTTGTCAATATTTCCAACTACTGACAACTCACATGAATTATTTATCATGATTGAAACTGTTGTTGGACTGGGACCCATAATTTTGAATATTTTGACTAAAAAGGCGAAATCCTGTACCTTATTGATATATAGTATATGAGATCATTGTATGAACAGGATATATATTTCTGTATACGTTTCATAATACTAAAAATCAATTTCCAGACTGCATCCATCTGGTTATGCTTCAGGAATAAATGGTTGAACGATAAACCAAATTACTTAAATGCAGTCGGTAGACATCTTTTAATAAATCCATACGTATCACTTTCAAGAGCATTCTTGCAAAGATTATCATTTGTATAATCTGGAGTTATAGGTGATTTTCGTATTTGTACTGAAAACAAACAATCACACTTTTGTTATTCAGTTACCCGTGCCTTTTATTTGCATAATTCTGTTTTAATTCTTGAAATAACCCGTAAAGTTAATCACTTATATTATTATTAACTGCATTATACAGAGGGAGGGTTGAGCGTCGGGCTTGCGACCCTAACCCAGAAATCAGCCGAACTGCTGCAGAAACTTCAACGCACAAGAAAAATATTAAAAATCCAAAAAAATATAAAAAACAAACTTGTTCATCGCTGGAATCAGAGAGGAGATAAGACAGAACAGTCTGGTGAAAGCCCTCAGGAAGCCAGTCGGACGATGCATTCTCTCGGTGAAAGCAAGAACAAAAATAGGAACGTGTAATGTCCGTACAGTGTATAAAGCCGGCTAGAAAGCCTGCCCACGTTGCGAAGAAATGCGAACATTTGGCATAGAAGTGCTGAGAGTCTGCGAAAGCAGATGGAATGGATGCGGACAGTCAAAATTGTCAGCTGCAGAGTCAGTAATCCACTTCGGTCACCTAAACGAAAACTATGAGCACACTTAAGGAGTGGCTATCATGATATCATCAGTATCAGCCAGAGCTCTGAAGCAGTGGTCGCCAATTTTATCCAGGATTATGAGAGCGAGATTCAACTCAAAAGGAAGGAAGGTCAAAATTATCCAATGCTACGCGGAAAAGGAGAAAATTTCTGTAGATAACTACAAAAAGTAATGGATAACATCCTAAGTGGTGACATCCAAATACTAACAGGCGATATGAATGCCAGCTGAACTGAAGTCAATGTGAAGTCAATCAGTCACTTCTTCTACATGGGTCAGAAACTTGACCGGTGCACCGCGAAAAAAATTTTCAACACTCAGATTCAGACTTTTGTCAACAGCTGCCACCTTCGCTGGCTAGCTCCATACTGAATATCAAATGGTCAGCTAGCCAGTCAGAAAGAATTAGCAACAGGAAACTCTGGCTGAAAACAAATCAACAAGCAAGAGGCGACTGCACAACAAATATGGCGAAGAAAGTGGAGATGGATTGGAAATACGTTGAGGAGGCCGTAGAATGACATCGCACACAATGTCGGCCATTGTTCGAGTGGAATCCCAGTCGGAAGCGACGATTGAGTCATTTGAATGTGACGTGGAGGAAATCGTGTGAGGTGGAGATGAGAGATTATGGTTAATCGTTGACCCAGTTGAACAAGACAGTAGAAAATGCAACAAAGTGGAGACGTGTTGTTGAATCCCTACATTCCACTCAGAACCCAATGGAGTAATAATAATGAAAATCGTTTATATCATTACATGTTGTATTAATTTATTCCAAATAATTTCCTCTTTTAAAGAATTCAAAATATTATCCATAATTTGATAAATTGAACAATTTGGCTGATTGACTACCAACCTGATCTTCACATATGTTTTGCTATCATTCTTAAATGTCATTTACTTTTCTTTACTACTGTATATAAAACCTACGTAAATCTATAGACAAAAAGATTACACTCCTTATTTCTCTATTCATCTTGTCTAAAGAGATTATAACAATTGAATATCTAATTTTCCTGTAAAAATTCGTCTTGGAAGCATGAAACTGAACACTTAGTTCTTCTGTCTCGTTTCAGTTTTTAAGTCAAATGATCTTACATGAATATTATCACATAGTCTTGTGTTTCACCAAGAGTGTCCAACTTAACACTCGGAGTAGCAAACTTTACGGTGTTATTACTCAGGCTGCTTAGTCTGGATAGGTCAGTTCTGTCAACAAAGATCAGTTTTTTTTACTACTACAGCTTGACACTAGTGTAGTGGGTGTGGTCAGTGCTGATAAGGAACCTACCAAAACTATTGTGACAGTTTAAGTTCAGTTATTACTTCTGTAAGCATTTGATGTAATCAGTTTCTGTGGCTTATGTGTTTAAAAGTAAGTTTTATAAATGATCAAGGGAAAGACACTTACATGTGTCCAATTTAATTTTAGAGAAATAAAATAGGAGTATGACGTAGATCTAGTCATTCCTAAGATATTTTTTAATTCCATTTCACTGCTCATTTTCAGTATGGTTTGAAATAATTTCCTCTAAAAGATAGTGCCGACCAAAATGCGCTACAATGATGTTTCATTTGTCTCAATCGGAACTCAACACAACCGTCTACATGCTTCAATCAGGACAGATAATTAAATTTCTGCATCAGCGACGCTCTGGTATTAAATTCAAACAGTCTTTTACCTACACTGACAGAAGGAAGCTAAAGAAAACAACTGTCAAAGAATACATATACATTCTAAGGTGGAAGTATCTGAATTAACTCACAAGAAATGAATCAATAAAGCTTGTATGTTTTCGCTTAAAAACAAAAATTGGTTTACACTGATTGTAAATTAGCCAGAGGTTCATTTAGAAGCTTTACAATGAAGCTAATACAGTATAAAGTAGAAATTTAAATAAAAGTATATTTTTCACTTTTTTATTTTCCACACACATAATCAGATGAATTACGTCATTGTCTAGTCGCATGTTCCTGCCAAGGAGTGAAAAAAGGCACCCACCTGAGTGACCAAAAGTTGTACAACAAAATTGATGTTAATCTAATTAGAATAAAATTATAAATGTTTTGCAAAACTGCATCAATTATTTCATTTCTATGTTTTCATCCGCGTGCAACCTACTACTCCTAGATAACAAAAAGCGGTGGGAAAAACCATCCCCATAAAAAACACCTGCTAAAGACATAGTAAAAGAAAAGAATAGTTAGTTGTCTAGTTCTGCTTTAGAAATATATCATATAGGCTCCAGACTAAAACTATTAGCTTTTACATGCAACAGGTTTGTATTGAGACTGCATGGTACTTTGTTAGCTAGCGCTTTTCATCTTTTGCTAATATGAGATATAACGCCACTGAGGACTAAATGTCTCCAAATTTCAGTCGGTCAATCACAGCTTCTCATTAGAACCACCGATAGTCATGCTGATTTGCAAATATAAAGAAGAACAAAAATACGGTCTATAAGACGTCGATCTATTGGCTGAATAATAGTCTGTCTAACACTAAACCTAAAGGTTTTAGGCTTAGTGGAGACTAAATAGCCAGAGGGGAACAGTTTTTTAAGCTTTTTGGTCCCCTTTTTTCCCACAGCACATATTGATTTATGACTTAATTTTCTTTCCCAAACCTCGCCTCGTTTACTTGACTGTCCTAAGCCAAGAAAAGAGGAAGGTTGGACACAGGGCGTAAAAACACAATTCCATCGCTACTGAAATTTAAAATCATAGGAAAAATAAACCTGTTCTACTCTGAGATTGGGAGGAGGTCTCATTTTGAAAGCAGTTGTTGTTAGCACGTGAGGCTCCTGAGAAGCCAGTTGACCGATGTATCCTCTATTGGTGAGAGCAAATGTCAGCATAGGAACATCAACTTTGTACACCATGTTTTAGGATCGCGAAGCTGCTCAGACTGAACACGAAATAGACAGATATGGTACAGAATTGTTGAAAATCTGTGACGACAGATGTAATAGAAGTGAACTCTTCGAATTGCTTGCTAACTGGGAAGCCAGCCATACTCTTCCAAATCAATTGTTTCATCAAATTATTTAGATGAGACATTCTTTCACTGAAAGCAGATTAGTGTACAGTAGAAATGAATAGCAAAGGGATAGTGGAATAAAGGAGTTAGGAGTTATGCAAATAAAGTACGGTAGTTGTGTG